AATATAGGAGTCATTATATAGGTGATAATACATGATTATTAACTGTATAATTAGCGGATAAAACGAAATTAAATACAATAACGACAACGTGATGTATGAGTAAAAATTAATAAATTGTTAAATGTACAACTTAATTAATTTATAATAGTCTACATATATATAAGTTTAGTGATGTTAAAAAAAATTTAATATATTATATTTGTCGAATGTATATTACATAAATATTATTATAGTTATTACTAATGAATATGATAATATAATAATAAATGCAAAATAATCTCTCTCTGTTGGTAGTATCAGATTTTAATGCAATGACATATTTTTAATTTATACATGATTTATTTCCGTTGCAAACTTTTTACGTAAATAAACTATGAATGTTTCAGCATTTTTTTTTTTTTTTTTATATCCGTGTTTTAAGAAGAAAATTACATGGGTAAAAACTAAAATTACCACAACATAATTGTCAAAAAACTTTTTTTCTCATGGGCGTATTAATTATTTTAGGATAAAAACCTTGAATATTGTAGTTTTAATGCGTACTTCCAAATTCTTAAAATACCTCTTAATATGATACATATTGTAAAATATAATCAGATACACCTGCATTTTAATAATAATATCATAATATCCCGTGAACGATATTATTATTTATTGTAAAGCCATTGTTTTATAATTTTACCAACTGTCATTAACTACTTTTTTGTTTTTATTTTTTTTAATAAAGGATAATTATCTACTCATACGTATATTTTAATTTCTTGATTTAAACAATTAAAATCAGGTCAATAAAGCAGTGAAAAATCTTTTTTAGTCGAAGTTCACATCGTTTCTAAACCATACAACTCATTTTTATTTAATATCTGCTTTTATTTCTTGGATCTCAAGTTATTTCTTTAGATTTGTGTCGTACTCATAATTTATGACGAATCATAAAATCAGATCTTACATCTCTACATCTCTACCTGCTCCTATTATAACGACTATCATATAACAATCATTGCAGCAGTGTAGTATAATAATACACCAACTGTATGCGCTCTGTAATAATTGACATCAGACTACAACCGTTCTGTATAATATTACATCGTAATGACTGTCGTTATGTCGGCCAATGACTGATTTTTACTAGCGCAAATCCAACGGTCGCAATCGCATTCGTTTACGTGGGTGTACTTTTGCGTTGTTTATTATAATTTATCATTTTTATGTGTTTCCGCGTTCGTTCTCGTGGCACGGAGTAAGCGATATGGCGGAAAGAGACTACTCGACCCAGTTTTTCCCGGACGTCGAGAGTATAAAAGCCATCATCTCGTTGTCAATAAGTTTCGTTGCACTAGATTACTTAATGGTAATGAGGCCATATACGTATATATGAATATAAAGGTGGTTTTGACTTGCGCTCGGTTGGATTTTCGGACGTTAAATGCATGTACGCATCTACAGCGGATGAGAGATAGTGACTGCACGGGGTGCGTTTTGTGGTGCGAAAATCGATGAACATATAATACATGCATGTCGTGTGAATATTCAAGTGGATGATTATGTACCGCGGCATGCGTTAACGTGTGCGGTGCTACGTTGTAAAATATACAACTCTTTTGGGTCGGCGGTCGTCACAGCGAGGATAGCTGCAAACGCAGTGGATAAGGTTCGAACATAAAAGCTATTGGGTGGTGGAGGGTTGTAAACGTCGCGGTGCGCGCCAGAAGAAGACACCCCATCATCGGGGTGGCGAGATGTTATAGACGTTACATATTGTATTATTATTTTTGTTGTGTCTTTTGATTCGAAAAACCACCTGTTGCTTTCCTTAGCGTGATATTATTTACTGTACGAACGGCTACAATTTAGCTTCGAGGGTGGCGGTCCGTGTCGTCCGATTATCGCTGTGCACATACTGTATTGTGCACGCATACGTTTTCGACAAACGAATATGGTATATTCGGATATTCAATACACTATTGTCCGCACGTGCGTCCGTTTGCAATAGCCGCACCGGCACCAGCAGCAGCGACAGAACAACAAGACCTACGTGGATACCGTGACACGCGTACCGCACACACGGCAGCCGACGTCTAAAAGGGCAGTGCCGCAGCAGTGGCATGCCTTATAAGGAATTTCGCATGTTGTCCAGCTAATGTATTTATTTTGTCACGGTAAAAATAGATTACCCGCAGTCAGAATTCGGTTTCCGAGGGTGATTTGTGATACATCTACCACGCAGTATATTTTTTCCTCTTTCGAATTTGCGTTTTCGTCGTATTTGTAATATTATTTTCAAAAATACCAAATTTACACTTTCCGCAGTACGCATTCCCGCTAAACCCGAAAAAAATAATGATTTTCCTTGACAATAGGGTATAATATTTACAAGAAAAATGTCTGAAAACATAGTAGTTTTACCCATTAATTTTGCTGTTAACTTGTATATCTCACTAGATCGATTAAAATGTCGTTCCGTACATTCGAATAGAAGAAAAATCGATCTGAAATTTCGCGGAAGGGACGATTGAGCCTTTGTAGTCCACTGCAGAACAACGTTCAAGGGTTATAGAGCGTTGCAGTGGCACGATTAAAAGTGTTCGTCGTTTGCATACATCGAAACGAAAAAAATAATTCGTGATACAGACGAATAAATCGGGTAGCAATACGTAACGACTGCGAACAAACACATTTCTCGGATTGCGAACGCTCCGGGAAACGTATTTCGCTGGATCCGCAACGGTCAAACCGACCGCGAGTCGCGCTCAAGTATACGTATGCGTTCGTCGCGGTTGATGCGATAAGATCCCGTACGCCTCAATCCCTCGTGATTGTTACTTCGTCGCGCACGAGGCATAATGTTTCTTGCGAAAGACTCGAAATATGCGCCGGTTCCAAAACGAAAAATGGAACGGCGACCCCGGTCTTCTAACGCGAGCGCACACGTACGCGTCGGTATAGTGTTACACGAACCGCTCGATGTTTTGTTCGTACAATACGACCGTTATACGCGCGCGTACGGAAGTGCGTCGATGTAAACGGCGTCACGGGCGCATCGCGGTCCGGGGGAAGTGTAATAAACAATAACGTGTTACCGACGGGACCGTTGTTCGCGTAATATTATTGTACCGCGTTCGAGAGCACACACGAAAGCCGTTTGCGGCGCAGTTTTCAGCGGCATGACTCACGTTCGTTGTTTCCACCGCGCCGGCAAACGCACGGCGACGCCGTTCCGTAAAATAAATTAATACATTCGATTTAAGAGCAATCACGTTCGTTACGTGCGTGCGACGATTGTTCGACAATCTCCGGGGAGCGGGACGCGCGGTTCCGGTTCAACGGTGCTCGAGCGAGCGGGCGACCGACAGGTTAGTTCGTTTTCCGCGGGTCGCGCGTTATCGATTTACGTTGAACGCGTGTTGACGTGCACGCGACCCGTGGCCAGTGGCCGAGTGCACTCAAATAAGTGTCCAACCGGCTGCTGCACGGGACGATGGTATATGGCGCAAACCAACAGGGCTTCTGGAGTCGTCTACCGAACAACGGAATCGAAATCAAACCAATACAGAGCCAGAAGGGAAATTCTACCGAGACGGATTATTGCGGAATCGTTAAGGGTTAGTCACGCAGAAGTGAACAGAAACTTACGGAATGTCCCCGGTGTCGGACGAGCGGCGAACCGATAAAGATAACGAACGCGGAAGAGCGGTGCCGATGACGCCGTGGAAATTCGTCGGGAGTGTTTTGATGCGTTGACGTCTTGCGTTCGCGTTTTGAAATGATTCGCGTATACGCGAGCACCGCCAACGAGCACCACCTGATCAATGTTGTGCCCTCGTTCGGTCTCTACCGAGAGAAATATATTCTACAAGACTTGTGTTCAATGCAATCGACGAACGCGTAAACTTTTGTCCAGGTGTACGGTCTCTTCGACTGCTCCGCTGGGGGCGAATTTCTCTGCAACGTAAACATACTGGTGCAACAGAGTTCAGCCGTACCGATCCGACGAACTAGTCGTGTTTCCCTCCGCAGCGTGCACGTCTCGCCGGGGTACCGCACTCGGACGCGCGCGTACTTATGCCGGCATTGGTATCCGGTAACGATCATCGTTGGTGTTGCGATCACCCATACCCGACACGCGGTATGCGGTTGTGCCGTGCATCGTCCGTGACGCGACCGGCGCCGGTTAAGACTCCGACCGCGGTCGATTCCTAACCGTCGTCGGGAAACCTTTGGGCGACACGAACCGCGACTATTGGTACGCGCGGAACGGCTACGCACACGTCATTGTTTTGCGCAAAAACGGAACGAGACAAATATTATTCGAATCGATTTCACCCCACCGTCGTACCGTTTCTCGTATTATGTTATCATTATGCGCGCTGTGATCTAGAGGTTTTCACGGACCAACAAATCGCATGTCCCTCATGGTACGATTGAATTAAATTTAGCGATACACACACACACACATGCACACATGTGCAATACGAGTCTTGGAAAAGTATTTGGAGTGATTTTACCGGAAAAATGTTTATAAGGGGACGACAAATAAATAGCGGCGACGCGAAAACCGACGGTTCCTTTGCGCGTGCCGTCGAATCGACATTACAGTATGTATTGTACAATGAAAATTGAATAATCGTGTTCCTATCTTTATGCTTATAACGCGCGTCGTCTTCGCAAAAAAAATCGTTTTCCATTTATAATGGAGTATTATATAACGAGAATTAACGTCTAAACGTTTTTGAAATCTCGTGTTGATCGAAAAATTTCACAGAAAGAAAAACATTTAGGTACAACATGATTCGTATATACAATTGTCGGTCGGCATTTTTTAAATTTTATTTTATTGAAATCTCATATGTATAATATACAAATAACATTTTTTTTTTTCAATAACTGATATTTTACCAAAATATTAGATAAAGTATCAATTGTGAAAGATGTACGAACATTAAATTAATAAATTAATATTATTGCTGCAAACATTTTCCTTAACGTTGTTCTACCAACAGACATACACCGGAACAATATTAGTTGCAGTAAATCCATACAAGGAGCTGGGCATTTATTCAAACGTGAGTAACATTTTTATTTTTTTTTTATTTAAAATATTTTTAGATAGTTGATAACATATTAATAAATTATTTAATGTGACATCACATGCAATTTTTAACTTTAGACATTTTAAATTGATAACTTAAAAATCTAATTAAATATGTTGCATAATTGTACGTAATTAGATCATATTTAAAATTAATTACAATAGAATATCCCTATCCAACCAAGTGGTATGATTATTATTTTTTCTGATTTAAGTGATAAACTAAAATATTCTCAATAGATTGGACTTGATAATATATAGAGAGTGCATCATATAATTTATGATTGTATTACTATGTATCGGTAGTAAATATAAGTATGATACGTGGGATTGTGTATTAATATTCATGTGCACGTGTTTATACATGATTATATTATATATGTATATATATATATATATATATATATACTCAATATTATGATAAGATATAACAAACCAAGATTACAGGAAAATGTGTCCCCTGTGGCTACGGAACTGTTGTACGTGGATGACTGTGAGTTGCACCGATATAAAATATTTAGATAATGTGTTGTGCAAGTTATGGTCTAACTAAATACTGTATGTACTCAAGTTTCTGTGGTCCAGTTATAAGCGTTAGCTATTGTTAAGTTAGTTATAATAACTCGAGTACAATACATACGTATATATTTTAAATAAAGTGTCAAATTGTTTTAAATATGTCGAAAGTTCGAGTAAAAATTTCAAAATAATTTCATGGAAAACCTAAAAATCGTAGGAAGTCGATTTGGTATGAAATATACAACGTGCGTAATAGGATATTAAGGATATCAATTTTAACTGCTCGGAAAACAGTCTGGAACTCATAAAAACAAAAGCACTAAGTAAACAAGTAAAAACTCAGTTTTCAATTTATCTCGTAAATGGATTTTGGGTCGCAACCATAATCTCGTGTAACTAAATACTTTTTAATAACATGTCCTTGGTGTGTAAACGAGAAGTTTTAGTTGGATTTAAAAATAATGATTTCCACGTATAACATCGTAAAAAAATAATTAAATTCAATACTTTCGGAACTCAACTACGACTTATTTTCTATAGAAAAGATTTTTGTTTAGGATATTATATAATATAGTATTTTTTATGTAATCAAAAAATTCAAAACTACGCAGATTTATATTTTAACGTTTTTGGATAGATAGATCCGTTGCATGAGCAATGAAAATATGGTTGATGACAAGAAGAATTTATATGTTATACCATACGTATAATACACAGGCGTAGGTATTATTTATGGAGAAGGTGTTTGATATAATTATGTAATAATTATTTTTATTGTTTCTTATTTATTTTTTATATAGGATTTTGGGGTATATTTAAACCTCCCTCCTCAACTATGCCACTGGTATAATATATTGTATTGTCATAACGTTACAACTATTTTTGTATTATATATAATTTACGAATACTCGTAAATTAACAGTTAGTTATTATTACAAAGTTTTGCATTGCATAAAAATATCTCCAAGTTGTACATCATAAGTAAATACAATAATCTACCAACAAAATTATTTTATAGAGAATGATAAGTATTTAATGGAAAATGGAATTTATTTCATAATCGTTTTATAATGTCATGAATGATGACCAATGTAGTTTAAAAGTAGTTACATCGTTAACATTTTAGAAATTTTTTCCGTAAATTATTTTTTTTTACTGCAAATAATAATGTATGACACATTAGTACAAATATTATTTTCCACAAGTCATTTTTAACGTTATGTAGAAGTTACTATTAGTAATATCTCTATAATGTGTATATCATCTAAGGTTTTAAATATTCTATTAGATTTTGATATTTTAAGACTTTTTTAGATTTTTAGTGTGTTAACTTGATTTTTTCAAACAAAATAAAGGAAATACAAAAGAATTAATTTTATTCATTAGTTATGATCAGGGCCGTATGAAGAAAAAATCAAGGAGAGCGTACGTATATTATATACATAAATATTGACATTAAATATAAGTCTTAATATACTTAATACTATTATTTGTTTTAGTATTTGAAAACATAATTGCTTATCATTTTTTTTAAATCGCTCATTTTTTAAGGTTGAATAATATATTATTGAAATGTGTTGTTATTTACCGATTAAAAGATTTAATATTTTCAATTTAAACATTAAATAATGGAATATTATATAAGTAAGTATAAAAATAAATTTGTCTCATTATACTTAAAAAAATCGGAAAAACGTACTTGGACCATTTTTATAAGTGTATACCATTTTAAAATGTATTTTACATGAAGTATTGTTGCTAAATAAAAGGATAGAACAAAATCAAAACACAAATTGAATTTGAAATTTATAAATACACATGAAAATGTTTATTTTTATTAACATTAAGACCAGAGAACTATAAAAATTAAGCAAAATCATCCTGTTCCACGGTTCAGCCTTGTTCACGTTCAATATTGTCTACTGCAGTAATGCGTAAATTATGAAGTGTTTATTTCTGAAGATTTAACGTATTAAAAGATAAAAAAGAAATATTACATCTTATAATCACCCCACTGCTTTGTTAGATTTCAAAGGTCGACACACATATTATACCAAATATTGGTTTAAAATATATCAATGCATAAAGTTATTCACTGTTCATAAACTCTATGCAAAAATAGACCATCACTAATGTTTTAAGTATTATTTTAAGTATTCAGTTAGAGGAATAATATTAATTGTATTTATGTTAGGTTTTTATTGTTGTAAAAAAGCGTTTAAGCGACAATTGGACATCCCAGCCGGACAGTAGAATGGTATAAAAATCGAATTATTCAACACTAGGCATTTAGTAATAAAAATGCCTGACCACATCATGTCCAAGACACGTGTAGTACGTATTGTTATCGTGTTTTATATTCTCTCTTTACTGTAAACGCCACGGCTTAACATAACCTACTAACGCGTGTGATAAACCGGTTCACGGTTCCCGTGTAAAATAATAACACGTAGGTATACGCACACACGCGCACGCACACATACGCACGTATACGCACGTGGAACAACCCTGTAACAGGGGTGTGACTCGGTAGGGTGGCGGCGGCCGTGAACGCACGTTTCTCCGCACACCCGCCGAGGCCTCCTCGCGGTGTATTGATCTGTTGCGGCCGGTGCGGAACGGCAGTCAAATTTTAGCGTTCTCTTCGCGTGGGCTCGCGCTCCGCCTTCGTACACCTCTCCGCACACGTACGCATCCGCCGCCGCCGTCGTCACTGCCAAACATCCGAGAGGCTCATTTCCACCATCGGTCTCGGTCGAGCGGACCGAGTCGAACACGGTCCAATCGTCCCGGGAACGTTTTTCTAACCCCCCCCCCCCCCCCCTTAACTGGTCGCCGGTTGCCAGCCTGCGTCTATGGTAACTCGTACGAACGTCCGGTTGATCCGGTCGACCACGGTCGAAAAAAAATCAACAAAAATAAAAACATACCGACGTACGACCAAGAATTCTCCTTCCAACCTCCCACCATCGCGTTTCGTAGTCCGCTCCTGTCGGACGCCAAATCCACCACCACCGTGCGCGTACCTAACCACCAAACGCTAATACGAACGCACGACCGGTGTACACGCCTGCTGGACGAAAAAATTCGTTTTTAAACGCGTATCGCAGCATCACGGCTACATCTATCACCGTCCACGTCCTGTTCGAAATCATTAACGCTAATCGATGTCATTATGCACTCGAGGGTCAGGGGATCTAGAAAATCTTTTTTCACACCCCGTCAAATCCTTCAATGCGTCATCAACCCATCTCGGAGATCACGTATATTTTGTCGCAACGAATAAAACAATTAACGAACGACCGACAAATAGATATACATGTATACGTATACTTACATTGAAGAGGGATTTTGAATTGATCATGCGTAAGACGTAATTCAACAGCATGCGTCTCCTGGTTGATAGGAACCGAACACGCGTGAATAAATAAAAAAACCGCATTCGACGGAATCTACAAGTAGTGTTTTGCACGCATAAAAATATGATAGGTCGTAAAAATTTCCTCTTTACCGCGGACGACATATTCAATTAATTGGCTTGTCAATCTGCCCTACGCTGCAACTTCTTCATATCAGTTGCAACACGTTAAAACCGATAAATGATTATGCTTTAAATGTGAATTTCTATTACCTCTAGAAGGTTGTTTACACATAATTTTAAATGTATTATCGGTTGTTCATGTTGATAATTTTTTTTTTCTAGCGCTTATCGATTTCACATTTAAAATTTCAATAACATTGTTTTTTTCAGAGAAATTCTTATAAAATATACAGTCGTATAATAATATATTTTATCGTAATATATAATAATTAAAATTATTATTTTTATAATCATTGTAATAATTAATTATAATAATAATTACATAATTAAATTATAAAAGTAATATATAATTGTATTATATACATATTACTATATTTTAAAGTTACACGATTATAAATTACAACAGATATTCATGAAATTCATTTTACATATATTTTATAAAAATATCGTATTTTTTTTTTCTTTTTCAACTGTTCCCATTAAGAACTTGCGCTGCCATTAACAAGCTTTTTCATTTTTTCCTAAACAATACGAGTACGATCATGTTTATTGTTGCATTCTCATCTACCAGTCTCTTATTATTTTTTTTCCTGTATAGTGTTTTTCCATTTGGTCATTAGTCAACCGAACGATCGTCTATTATTCATTTCTTATTATAATATACCTTTCCTTCTCTTATTTGCTTTCCATACAAGTTTCAACAGTTTCAGTCTTAAAATGTATATGGATACCGGGCGTTATAACTCTACATTATGTCTCTTTTCCTCTTTTCCTATACTTTTAGTCTTGTAAAGTATTTGAATACTAGTATTATTTTAAGTTTTTATTGCGAATAATTTAATTACATGGAATATAATGACAGGTATTCTATTGAAAACAAATATTATAAAATTATATATTATAAATAACACTTT